GTGAACTTGGAATGATGGAATGCACCCTGGAAGCAGGAGCTCTGACGGGTGCCACCGTGACTGTGCCCAGCAGGGAGCTACCTGGTGGTTTTTAACAAAAGACAAAATTCCCCAGGTCCTTCTCTGTCCTCCAGGAGAAAGTGGTATGGGAGAGGGAACCCAAGCATGACCAGGGCTGCCCACGCGGCTCCCTGTGAGGCATCAACGCTGCGAGCCACAGCTGTCGTGGGGAACCCGGGAAACGTAGCCACCGTCAGAGAGCCAGAGAGCCATAGACGCCTGCACCGGGTCCTGGCCCAGCCCGAGGGGTCCATGTACCCCTGTCTGCCTCTGAGGTCAGGGCCCTGGGGTCCTGGCCTGGTCTGCCTGTGGGAGGCAAAGGTGTGGCCAGGAGGGGGCAGTGGTGGCCACCACTCCTAGAGGCCCATGAAGAGCAGCTTTGCCCCCACACTTCTGGGAAGCCAACTTGGGTGTGTTTGGGAGGGGCCTGGTGCTGCAGCCGGCCGTGGGCACCTGCCTTGTGGCCGTCCACTGGGGGCCGAGTCCAGCTCAGATGGCTCTGGGGACCCGCTGCACCCACGACTCCTTTGAGTCCAGAGCTGGGGGTGGCTCCTTGGAGGCTTCCAGTCCTGCCCCAGCTGCCATCCCTGCCAGGTGTTAGTCCCTCTGGTTCAGAGTCCCAGGAGGACCAGTGGCCCAGGAGAAAGGGGTGTGTCTCCAGCTGCTGGGAGTGTGGGTGGGAGCCAGAGGCCTCAATGACAGTGGGGACGGCAAGTCCTGACTGGAGGGAGGAGACCTCCTGAACAGGGTCCCCAGCACAGAGGCAGAAAGGAGACTCTGTGAGTGGGGGTGTCAGCTGCATCTGGACCTTTGTCGTGGGGAGGCAGGCACGCCTGACAGCCCACCTGACCGGGAGGCGGCTTGGGGATCCCCCATTGTGCGGGTGGGGTGCCCAGAGACTCCAGGACTCCACGTGGGGCTCTGCCTGCTGGACCCTGAGACTTTAGGGGCAGTGCCTCCCACAGCAGGGTCATCCTCTTTCTGCACAGTCCCACTGGCTGCCCTGGGTCCTGCAGAGACCTGAGACTCTGGGGACAAGCACAGGGGACAGGTGGGTGTGGACGGCCTGTGCCGGTCGAGGGCAGTGGGAGGGAAGGAGGAGCCGTTTCCTTGTGTGCTCAGAGTAACAAAGTGTCTCATTCCAGTTGGTTCTGGTGGGACAGGGTAGGTGGAAGGGACCCGTGCTTGCCCTGAGACATGGGGGTGCTGTCTTCCTGTGCAGGGGGGTGTGGCTCGCCACCATCACCTTCTACCCACAGGTTCTTATTTTAACAGATCACAGAGGTACTATGTGCTGCTTGCAAAAATTTACAGGATTTGTAGACTTTTTAAAAAGTAAAAAGAAATTAAAGTTCACCTGTAACCTCACAGTTATCCAACTACACATTTCCTATGCATAATTCACTTTACAAAAATTGGATCAAGATACAACTAATGATTTTTAAAAATACAGCAATATAGTTGCGCATTGTTCCACATCAAAAAATAAATGTGTGCACCCAGGGCTCCTGGCTGTCCCAGTGGCACAGTGGCTCATGCCTGTAATCCCCACACTTTGGCAAGCCGAGGCGGGTGGATCACCTGAGGTCAGGAGTTCGAGACCAGCCTGGCCAAGATGGCAAAACCACATCTCTACTTAAAAAAAAAATAAAAAATTAGCCGAAAAAAAAATTAGCTGAGTATGGTGGCCTGTGCCTGTAATCCCAGCTACTTGGGAGGCCGAGGCACGAGAATCGCTTGAGCCCTGGAGGCAGAGGTTGCAGTGAGCTGAGATCCTACCACTGCTCTCAGGCCTGGGTGACAGAGGAAGACTCTACCTCAAAAAAAGCCCATTTACTCAGCCCACATTTTTGAGCCTCTGCTATTAGGAACCAGAGGTGAGCAGAGCCGACCTGGTGACCCCTGGGGACGGAGCGGGAGAACGCTACCGTTCCGGGCTGCCCTGCAGGAGCTACAGCCTGGGAGGGGCGGTGGCCACTTGGGGGCAGGGTGGGCTTCTCAGCTGCGCCCACCCAACCTTGGGAGCTGTGTCTGGGAAAGAGACTTCTCCTGAGCCGACAGCAGAGAGTGCAAAGTCCCCAAGGCCCGCACGCCTCATTCGGAGAACAGCAGGAGGCGCGGGGCGGGTTGGGGGCGTCAGGGAGACGGGGTTGCACTGAGAGCCTGGGGAGCGCCAGTGACAGCCTCGGCCGCGCTGCTGAAAACCGACCGTGCGGGATGGGGGGGCGCGGTTGGCCCGGCTGGGGTGAGGA